ATGCCACAGCTTGCAAGTTCCACACCTGAACTGCTCTGCTGGGCTTCAGAACAGAACCTCCACCAATGGCCTTGTCTTAAAGCTCCCTTACCTTTCTGAGATCCCTTTCTTTGCCCACTTCCTACCTCCCAGGGTATTTTTAAGGATAAATGAGATAATGTCTGTGAAGGCTCTGGAGAGGAAGCCTCGTTGGAGATAAGCACACCCTCTGATATTTTTAGCTGAAGAGTGCTGGTTGTCCAGGATATGCCGTTTAGCAATTTCTGGAGCCTTGAAAAGGAAAGAGAAAGGGTGGCTGGGGGCAGGGAATTGGGGCACTCAACAGCATTGTGTTTCGAGAAATCCCTCCCACCGCAAGAGTAAGAATACACGTCAAAGGAAACAAACACCATTTGTAGATAATACAGGAAGGTGACAGGTTTGCTTGCTTGCAACTGTTACAGCGTGACGCTAACAGCTCTGTCCTAACTGCTTGTTCACTCTAAGGGGCAGAGGTCCACGGGGCAACCACTCCACTGATAATGAAACAAGGCTTAAGTGGCTCTCGCTTCTGCACAGAATGGCAGGAAACATCTTCACCACCCACCCCTGCCTCCTCCAGAAAGCAATGAGTTTAAGGTGGGGGTGTATTTCCTGCCCAGATTCCAAAAATGGTTCTCAGTCTTTATGGAGATAGGAGAATGGACACGCTGACCTAACATAAGCAAGACTGCAGAACCACAATAGGGACTAGCCTGCCCTCCAGTCCATATCTGCCTTCTAAGTAGAAGGCGTTCCAAAAGGAATAACAGGAATTTTGCTTTGATAACTTAATTGGAGAAATGTCTTGCACGAGTTCGCCCAAGTGCTTCATCTGTGTTTTTGCTGCCATTCTGTAGAGTTTTATCTCTCAACTCCGTGGTGCAGACCAGAGCCTCTTTCCCTGTGGGAAGTTGATAATGTTTGCTGACTTCTCTGCAGGCTCAAAGATTAAGATGAACATTATGTATGTACACTGCAACTGTTCCTGAAACTAGTATTTAGGATTCATTGATGCATTTTCGTATACAAGCCCTGGCAGATATCTAAGGTTGAATACCAATAGTCACACTGGGATTCAAATTCTGTTTCGACTAGATGAGAAGAATATCATTTAGGGGGTGATTTAAACATTTCAAGGTCAACCCATTTACCCATAATTCTGAGGAAATAATTTCCATCATTGCTTTAGTATGAAAGTTAAATGAGTTAGGGTAGACAAAGTTTAAACAGCTATGCTATTACATTCAGAAACAGAAATAATGGATACTAGGGAGATGGCTCAGTTGATAAAGTGCTTGTTGTACAAAAATAAGGACCTGAATTCCACCCACCAGAATCCACAAAAGAAAGATGAACTTGGGGGTACATTGCAGCAATCCCAGCAGTTTTGGGGGAGCAGCAGGAAGAGGCAGCTGCACCCTTGTGGGCTTACTGGCAGATATGTCTAACCAAATTGTTAAATGTCAAGTTCAGTAAAGACACCCTGCCTCAAAACCAAAACCAATTAACAAAAATCCAAACCAAACCAAACAAGACAAAAGAAACCCCAAAACATGTATACACACACACACAAAGGTAAAAATAAAAGAAACAAACGATGGCATGCTGTTTAATTATGATGTTTTTCTTAAGCTGCTTTGCCACAAGCAGACAAGCTGATTCTGAGTGAAATGAACCATATTTGCATCCCCCTTGATCACCACGTCCGTTGAATTTCACAAAGTGTGGGCACCAAGGTTACATAAGGAGAAGTTATTAATAACAGGATGCATTTGGGGCAGCTGGTGGAGAAGTTCCTATTATCCCATGCCCCAAATGTCTCATGCTGAGAGATTATCAATTCGGCAATTGCTTGCAATAAAGGGTTGGAAAAGATGAAGTTTTATTAGTAGATGGGAAGTTTTCTGATCACACGGAGGCCTAAAACCTCCTGGCCTCACCTGGAACCCGCTTCTTTCAGGTTCTAAATAGGAAACTGGGAGCCAGTTCAATTTTGTACAAGTCCCCACAGCCTGCTGGCGGCAAAGCCAGGTAGAGCCTGGCTCTCTTCATTTTGAACCGTAGGTCTCCTCCACCCTCTCTTATCTGCACTCTTTTTTTTTTTTTGCTTTCTCCTGAACAGTGAAAGAGGTCAGTGAATGTGTCTCATGGTAAATGCTCAAACTGGCATCCTGAGAGGGCATCTGGGCATCTGGCGTTGAACTCAGTGTCTCCAGCCCCTGGTAGCTTCTCTCTGTCATACTGTGCATGTCTGAGTCACATCAAAGAGTGATGTCATGAAGAACAACAGTCCCTGTTTTTGCATGTGTCAACCTTCCCTTTCCTGTGTCCTCAGGAACTCCCCACTCCAATCAGGGAGCACTGAGTATTGCTGTTGCTATCACACACCAGTGATCATGCCAACAATGCTACATCTCCGGCCCTGAAAGCCTCTTTTCTACAGGGAATTAGGCAAAGTGATAGGCTTAATTCCCGAAAACATAAAAGAAAAGCACTGGTAGCATGAACCTATTTTTTTTCCCCTGGAAGACACATGAATTATGGCCCTGACAGCAGACTCAGGTCTATATCTGTGACCAGGATATGCCTTCCTCTCATCATTCATCCTGGCTGTTGATTCTCTTCATGCTCTGAATGTGGGGGAATCTAGGTACTTTCTTCAAGCTCAGGTTTGGAAATTCAATTTGTATGAAGGCTCAGGAGTATTGCCTAGAAGGCAACACTTAAAATGAAAAAGGGAAGTCTACTAATTAAATTGGTATGCCTAGCACAATATGAGCAGAGAGAATTACCAGCCTAGAGTGGAAATTTTAAATGGGTTTTATCATTTTCTTGCTGATGTCAGGGTTCATTTTGGGGATGGATGTCACGTGGAAAGGGCCAACATTCGTGCCCAGCATGCTCATGGATGATGGCAGAGGACAGAGGGAAAAGACAGTATGTTGGAAGGGAAGAAAGAATGATAATCTGGTCTATGAAAGATCTTGATAACCTCAGAGTATTGATGAGTTCCTGTTGTGTTCCAGAAAAACCTCTGCCATATTGGTTTATGTCAATCTACATATAATCCATCTACCACAATGAAAACGCCGATACAGCCAATGCAGTGTTTAAGATTCTTGGTGCCACTGATGTCCGTTTGGTTTGCTCTCTCTCAGACATGCCTGAAGGACTATGTATCTGCCACTCTTAAACCACTCTTTCTTTTCTTTGTAAGACTGAAAATAGTGTGTGCGTACATGCATGCATGTGTGTGTATGAATGAACATATTTTGTCTGAGTCCTCATGGACCCCAGAAGAGGGCATTCGAGTGCCCAGAACTTGAGTTATAGGCAGTTGTGAGCCACCTACAAAGATGCTAAGAACTGAACTCCAGGCCTCTGCAAGGGCAGCAAATGGTCTTAACTATTGAGCTGTTTGTTTCTCAAACTCTTTTGCATTTTTTTCTAAAGGCTTAAGAGACAGCTGCTTGACAATGAATGCTCATTATATATTGAATTTAAGACTACTTCTTGAACATTTTGTACAGTTTGATTACTTCCTCACGACTTAATTATTCAAGATATATTCCAAAGTTTCCCATATCTTCCTTATGTGCAAGGGTTTTAGAGGATACAAACCTCAGATCCTGCTGAAGACCATTGGGAAAAGAATTTGTTATAGCACATTTTGTTTTACATGATTTCCAGATAATGACATTTGGGAACTATGCTGTGTCTGGATGTAACCCACCAGGTTAATGGCAATAGCTTTTGTGTCTGCCAGGCTTCACTGTAAGGGATCTCACAGAAGGAAATAGACAGCATGAGGTTCATTCATATCCTATTCCAGAAAATGGATTGCAGCTATTAAATTGACTTCGTGATAAATCATTTACTTCTGCTTTCAAATATTATTATGGATGTGTCAACAGCTCTGAGTTCCTTTAAAAGTTTTGCCTTCTAGAAAGGATCATATTTCAACTGTTTGCACACTGCTCTACCATGTTCCATGTGAGGTGTTTATTGAAAAGACTAAATTGTATAGGTAAGATGGACAGGCTCCACTGACTGAAAGCATGGCTGAAGACATTGCTCACAGCAGTCTCTTCAGGACACCAGCTGCCGTTTGGACCTATGTATTTCAATGTCCATTTCTTTAATGTTGGTTTCCTATACTCAGTAATGTCATTTGCTCCCGGGTGCTTCTACCAAATAGCTGGCTGCACAGTGTGAACTATAATATCTACTTAGGTATTTTTAATGTGTACTTGATTAACCCAAGACTTGCCTTTCTACTTCCAGGGGAAAAGGAAGTATTTTGTATGCAAAAAAATAATCATGATTATCAACAATTGTCCTTTCTCACTGGTGGCATTGCTTCAGATTTTATAGTGTTTATGGACTCCTTCGGGGCCCTAATTTGGACTTCCTTTGATTCCTTAGAGGAAAATCATTTTTAATTCTCTGAAGTAGAAACTGTCAGTTTCCAGCTCTGAGCGTTGGGATTTCTTTCCCCTTTTCATCTCAAAAGTGCTTTCTTCATAGAAGGTGGTAGTGGTGTTCCGTCTGCAGCGTCCCTATAGTCCTTCTACCCTACGCAAAGTGACAAATAACCATGATGATTTCTGCAGAAGGCAGCCCTCTTTAAGGAACTTGTGTTGACACATAAATCATAACATTTGAAAGAATTCGTTGCCTCTTTCCTGCCATGGGAGCCCTTGCTCCAGCACATTTGGTCTAAGCTGCTGTGGGGGTGTGCTTGTATCTTAGTGTGTTGCTCTGTTTTGTGGTGTTCCTGCAGCTGCCTCCACCACTATGTGGGTGTTTTCTTCAACTGCAGTGGAACCACTGACTGGCTCCAAGCCTCTGCTGTTTTTGCAATTCTCTGCAGAAATGGCTTCAAGTGTTACTTTGCTGGGTCTGCTTGGGGGCAACCACAATGATGAATAGCGATGAGCAGGCACGAACTCCTTGACGTATGCGCTTCACCTCCACAGCTCCCCGATAAGATCAAACAGCAGTGCTGCAAGTGGCCTGACACATTCCGCTCCAGTGGTGGACAGAAGCCTATCTTGTCATTCATCTGCTACAGGCGCTTACTGGTGCTGCCATCTTCTCCTAGACCCTACTTCCAAGGACAGCTGGCCTGATGGAGAGATGTCCTACTGCATTTCCAGAGTGATCTGGAAGTACATTCCAGACATAAGCACAGCCATAGAAAACCTCACTCGCTAGGATCCTACCACTGTGCTCTGATTTTATCCTGGTGGTTCCACAGTCCTTACTATGGTAAGAAGGACCTAGAAGTCTGAGCATTTACACCCAGGCAGTTCTGATTGTTTCAAGGTTCTGACCCGTATGTCCTCCAGACAGTTTTTGCATCTGAGAATTGTTCCACCACAGTTTCTAAGCTCACCAAGGGGGTGTGAGGTGTGGGGGTATCATACAAAGTCACCTTCCGGACAAAACGGCCCAGTCAATGGGATAATATGTATGATAGGCCTTTCCACTCTTTAATTTGTCATCTGATGAATCCTTATGACTCAAAGAAAGAAAAGCAACCATTGATTGGGGTGGCATTTAGAAATTGATTTGTGGGCAGGGATTACAGGGCTATTATCTGAGTCTAATCTTTACCACCCGAGTCATACTCCAAAATTTAACTGACATACCCAAGTTTAACACTTGTGTGTGTATGTGTGTGTGTGTGTGTGTGTGTGTGTGTGGTGTGGTGTGTCTATGTGTGTGGTGTGCATGTGTGTGTGGTGTATGTGTGTATGTGGTATATATGTGTGTGTTGGTGTTGTGTGTGTATGGTGTGTGGTATGTGTGGTGTGGTGTGGTGTGTGTGTAGTGTAGGTATGTTGTGTGTGATGTGTCTCTGTGTGTGGTGTGCATGTGTGTGGTGTATGTGTGTGTATGGTATATGTGTGCATGGTGGTGTTAGTATTGTGCGGTGTGTGTGTGGTGTGTGTGGTATGTGTGATGGTATGTGTGGTATGTGTATGTGATGCTGTGTGTGGTGTGTGTGTGATGCTGTGTGTTGCATGTGTGTGGTGTATGTGTGTGTGGTGTATGTGTGTGTGTGATAGTGTGTGTGGTATGTGTGTGTGGTGTTGATGGTGTGTGAATGTGTGTGTGGTATGTGATGTTGTGTGTGGTGGTGATGGTGTGTGTGTGTGTGTGTTGTATGAAATGGTGGGTGGTGTGTGTATGTGGTGTATGTGTTCGTGGTGGTGGTTTGTGTGTGCCTGTGTGTGTGTGTGTGTGCATGTGTGTATGTGTGGTGTGTGTATGTGTGTAGCATGTGTGGGGGTGGCTAGGGATCTTTTTCTGGAATGTCATGATCACTTGAACCGAGTTGAACTGAGATTTTTTTAAAACAAGGTTTCTCTGTGTAACAACTCTGGCTATCCTGGAATTCACTCTGTGGACCAGGCTGACCTCTAACAGATCCTTGATCTCCCTGCTGAGGGCTAGGGTTAAAGGCATGCTTTACCATTCCCCTGCAAACTGAGAAGTTTTTAAACAAAGGAAGAAACAGAGTTGAGAAGTAAAAAATTATCTGGATCAGGGACACTTAGCAAAGTAAACAAGGAAACCATGAGAAGAAAAATTGCCATGGCAAGGGGTTTATTATTTTTTTCTAGAACTCTCTAAATGACAGCTATTCAGACCTTGCAGCAGTTCATTTTAATTGTTCATAGAAAGATGATAAGGGCCGGGCGGTGGTGGCGCACGCCTTTAATCCCAGCACTCGGGAGGCAGAGGCAGGCAGATCTCTGTGAGTTCGAGGCCTGCCTGGTCTACAGAGTGAGTTCCAGGACAGCCTCCAAAACAATACAGAGAAACCCTGTCTCGTAAAACCAAAAAAAATTTAAAAAGCTGAGAAACAGAAATTGCCAAGGGTAAGCAAAAAGCAAAGGATGATCCATAGAAACAATTTCATTGGATATTTGCATCATTCCATCCAGGTCCCATCACTGTTAAGGAGTTGTTACTACCTTTGTTTTTTAGATGGAGAACTCAAGACTTTGAGTTGTTTTCCCAGAGTCTTGAAAGACAAGGCATTGAGCTGATGCAGGAGCATAGCCAGATTTGACATTTATGCTGCCCCATCATATCTGAAGAGTGAAACACAAAGCAGAGGCTTTCTTAGCATCTCTAGAGCTCACAGCCCACCTTAGGGTATCTGGTTGTCCATGTTACCAGACTATGAGTTGAACTCTCTTCCTTTGGAGGCTGCTTAGGCTTTCCCAGAGCATGCTGAGTTCTCACATTCCTCAGTCACAGCACATCTCACCAGACTTGGCCTCTATTTATTAGCCTCAATATGAGCTTTAAATTGTTTTTTACTTTAGTTCTTAGAATGAGGGAAATATGGTGAACCCAAGAGTACCCTATGAATAAACAACTGTTTAAACACTCCTTGGCCATTTTTGACTTTCCAGAGAAACTTAGCAGTCACCGTGATAATAGGCATGACATTTAGTGTTCAAAACCTTGCAGAGTGATTGTCTAAATCAAAAAGGGGAGCAAGGCAGCAGGAGGAATGACAAAATTCAAGTTGGCTCATGGCATTGCTTTCAAGCTTCTTATTCTCCAGAGCCAGCAAGGAGAACTTAAGAAAGACCCTAGCTCAAGGGGTTCGTTCACATAGTATCCTGACAAAAGGGAGCCCCTCATCCTGAAACTGTGCATTGCTGTGCTTCTTTGACTTCTCTGGGTCAGATCGCAGTTGGCCCTTTCTCTTGTCTGGCTGAAGATGCTGAGTCAATGCTGGACTTTGTTACCACTGAATCCGAATCTTATTTATTGCTCAACCTTCCAGGTTTGAGACTGATGTATGCTGGTCCCAAACTCTGGGGTCTTCTAATGTAAAGATTGGACCAATTAATTTAATGTCATGTTTTCCAGTGGAAGTTTTGCTTGACCCACATGTGAGAAATTGCTGTTTGGGAGAAAAGGCAGAAGAGAGCCTGGGTCCATGATCATACCCTTTCACATCTCTGAATACTTAACCTTATCAGGGTTTCCTTTCCCTTAATCTACCTCGAACAATAAGAGAGACAGCATTCATACACACATTTCAGAATAGGGGCCCTTAGCAGTTTCTCAGATACACTGGTACCTTTTCCGCCTCAGTACCTGTTTGTCTTGGAGGGGTTGGAAGAGACGATGACTTTTCTTGCCTGCAGAAGCATTACTTGAATCAACCTGGTGCTAGATCCCTTATTTAAAAACTTCGTGCTAACAAAATTGTAAGCCACATTCGTGACAATGGTGATCTCTTCAGGGCAAGGTGGCTTTATTCTATGCAATTGCAGACTGTCAATGGTGGGGAAGCCCTGAGAAACCTTCTGTTCCATGCCTGTCATTTTGAAACTGGAGAAGGGAAGCACTGGAAACCAAAGAGCTTTGCTCCCTCCGAGTTTTCAAGGCTTGCTGGTCTCCAAACCCCTAGGCTGCCATAGCTATGACTTGGCCTGCATCCCTTTCCTTTCTTTTATTGAGTGTAGCATTGGGACGGGCAGGTTTTATAGCTTGACACTCTTATCACTCTTGCCTTCTTCTTGTTCTTGTATTCAGTTTCAAATCTGGCTCTGACCCTTGCTGAAGGGGGTCACTGGAAGTGACAGGGAAAGAGAGAGAAATAAGCCTGGTCATGACCCAATCAGTACACTCAATTTCACTGGGGTTAATGCCCTTTTACAAGGCAGAGAGGTAGGGATAGAGACGAGATTTAGGAAAAAGAAAAGATGGCTACCTATAACACCATTCATTCTGGAGTTAGGTACAATGTTGGTGGCCAATGCTGAGCTCAGAAAACTGATAGGAGCATGGTGACCAGGAAACATCTGTACAAGAAAATAGCCCCAGGATTCTTTCTTAGGTTTTATTCCATCACTGGTCAAAGTAGGAAGATATTTAAAAAACAATAATTAGGACTGTTTTAATGGTTCTTAAATTTTAGACTTGTTAAAATGTGGCCTCTTGGTCACCTGTTAAAGCCCCATAATCAATCAAGTTTAGCGTGAAATCCAGGAATGTGTTTTTTTTCTTGTTCTCTCTTTGTAGTTTGCTGCCTCTGTGTCTTCCTCTGGTGTGTGTGTGTGTGTGTGTGTGTGTGTGTGTGTGTGTGTGTGTGTGTGTAATAAATCTGCTCTTTTTAACTTGGGGAAAATAATTTTTGAATTTTCAAAAAATTTACAAATATGACAAATTTTCAAAAGAGTTTACAAATATTATGCTAAGAATTTGGTAAATAGCCTTTACCATTATACATTTACCTTGAATTTTAAAGAGTTTTAGTCATATATTTGTGCATGTGTGGGAGTGAATAATCGTGCCTATACACATCTAGTGGCAGATGAAGGTGAGAGATACCTTGGGGCTAGATGCTCAGGCCTTTGCTTGTTGACCGCTGTTATCTGGGTTCTGGGATTCCAACTTTGGTGCTCAGCGTTGTGCAGCAGCAAGTGCTCTTTAATGCATCCACCAGCATCTCCATCTGCAGAACTGTTTATATCCCCAAAGTGAAGCTCGGCACTTGTGAAATACCAACTCCCAACTCTTCCTTTCCGTGCAGCTTCCTGCACATGTTCAATTAACCTTCATGCCTCATCTGAAAAGAATCATGGAGTATTTGCCCTTTGAGGTATGGCTTATGTCACTTAGCATGGCCCTTTTGAGGTCCCAGAACCCAGGGCTGGTTCATCTAGCTAATACCTATCTCATAGCACCATTATGTGCAGATTGGAAGATTTGTACTTTGTCTTGCCAGGCAAGATGTGTGTTTCTTCCGAGGAAGCACTTCTTTGGGTGATAGTGGGTAAGCCAATTATTTAATGTCCTGGATTTTTTTCTTGCCCAAATAAAACACTAATACAGTATAGTTTAAGACACTGCGTGATTTCCTTTTTTTACTTAGCACTCAACATATTTTTATTAAGAACCATATATTTCTTAGGCTTTACAGGACCATGAAGATGCACATGACCATCATTTGATTCCATACCTTAATTATACACCACCTATAGAAGAAATGTGGGGGGTATGGGTAAGCACATCTTTTTATTTTAATTTTACATTATTTTGTTTTTGAGTTTGATTAAATCAGGAGGTCTAGGGTTGTTTTACAGCTGTATTAAGTTCCTATAAGACATCATAGGTATCTTAGAGAAATGCCTGTAGGCAGACAGTGGGAGGGAGGAGTTAAAATTGTTCAGGTACAGGAGAGGGGTTGGCTACTGTTGCCCCAGGCATATGGTATTCTCCAAAAACACCTTTCAGCTCAGTTATCATGCAGGAAAGCTTTTGGAGCAGATGCGAAATGTGGCTGGGGGCACCTCTGTGATAGTGGGTGCAGCATGAGGGCCTGCCATTCACCATTCTCAGGGCAAAGCAAACCTGAGATGCTCCAGGCAAGCATCGCAGGGAGATGAGAGGAATTCAGAGAGAGGAGAGGACCTGTGCTCAAATCTAGTCAAATCTTGATTCTTTTAATTCCCAGGGTCTTTAGCTACAGGAGAGGCAGTCCTGACCTCAGTCTAGCATCTCTAGGTCTTCTCGGAGACATGTCAGTTCCTGGGGACCCCCTTGTGGTGGCCCTGACTCAGAAAGAAACTCATCAGTTACTATAGAACACCATCACATACCACTTCCTGAAAGTCTTTGGGTTTTCCCTAGAAGGCTCTTTCCAGTCCTGCCAGGAACAGCTGGGGACTAGCAGTGGGGCAGGCTAACTGAAACAGTTACCCGATTTTTAACTAATATAAGCACAGCACAATAATAAAGACTGGGAGAAAAGACTCTCATAGTGGAGCACAGACCTAGGCTGATGTAATTAAGTGTGGTTGAACATTAACACTGCCCAGGTTTCTGAGCAATCAAGGTAATTACAGAAATGAGTGGTTATAGATTATTCAACAGATTAAAAAACATGTTTTTTGTCGATTTTGTAAGATTCCAAACTAAAGGGAATTTTCTGAATTTATTATTCAATCAAGGAGGTGATTTTAAGATGTAATGTGTTTGCAAGCATGAAATGATATTTAAATATGATGCAAATTTACTTAAATGTTTAATGGTTAGATACCTAAATAGTTTATTGTATTTATTACAAGTGTACATGTGTGTGCACATGCATGTGTGCGTGTGCGTGCATAGGCATGCACATGTGTGGAGGTCAGAGGACAACATGAGGGTGTCAGTTATGTCTTTCCGTTACATGGCTTGGGGACAGGTGCCTTTATCCATTGATTTGTGTCTCCGGCTCTTATTTACTAGTTATTACTTCATCAAATGTTGGATACAAGCCAAGAATATAAGTTGAAACCTTAGCTCAAGTAAAGCGGAGGACTGTTGCTTTCTGATAATCTACTTGATGATTATGAAACCATCAGGAGTAGCAAGACTGTTACTCCTCCTTGAACACTAGCCATTTACCTACTCTGTTTACCTTTGTTTCTCATCTGTAGGAGGACTCAGAAGTTTCTTACTGACGGAAGAAATGTCTACAAGTTTCTAATACCAGATATACCTATGACAAAATTCGGACTTTTTTTTCATGGGGTTAAGAAGGCTGTCTTCTTCTTTTATTTTGCTAGAAGGCCTTCCATCTCCTCCAAGGATGAGTATCAAGAGAACCCTGCAGGGAGCATGAAGACCCTCTCTAGATGCCACCTGGCTCTTGCTGTAATCCCCAGCAATGTGTGAGCAAGGTCATTGCCTGGCTGGAAGGAGAGGTGGAATAAGTCATGTCATTTTAGTCAAGAAGGTGGTGGGTGTGTGGGGGAAGGGGCTTCAGTTTTTTCATTTTAATATTTTTACTTTTGGATGACAGAGGGTTTCTTAGAAAGGAAGGAAATACAGAAAATCTTCATCATGGATTTTTATCTTTATGATGTCATCACACCTTATTAGCACAATCAGACTGTGTACAGTTATAGTGAAAGTCTAGATAAGGGAGAAATGATCACTTTCAGACTCAGTGTTTCTTTTGTAGATGGTGATAAGACACAAAGATCTATTAGGCAACCAGTAACATCATCCTTAGAGATACAACAGCAGTTCCCCAATTATCTTTCCCTTTGTACCATCCGACACATATACTCACACATACACATTCACACACATGCGTGTACACACACACCTCACACCACAGTACACACAGAACTAGATCTTCCTTTCTTTTGTTCAACAGTTGCGCCAATACTTCTCTTTTTCAGAGGATTAGAATTTATTGCATGATGTTGAAATCAACTGCTACCTGTCATGTGTAATTCCCTTCTCCTAAGTATGAACACCTCAAACATAGGGAAAGAATACAGTGTTACTGACCACACCAACTGAATCCTCACATGTTCCTTTATGCTCGGCCATGGATAAATCTGTTCAGGTGGAACTCTCTGATTTGATCCACTTTTTAAAATAATTAACCCATCAGAAAATGCTTATTTTCTCAGACCATAAGATGGAGATTGTCCCTCTAACGAAACTACATGGAAGCCAGGCCTGATAGCATAGGTCTATCATTCTTGCTAATCTGGAGGCTGATTTGGGAGCATGGCAAGTTCAAGGCCTGCCTAGACTACATCAAGACCGGCTTAGGCAACAAAATAAGACCAAGTCTCAAAATTAAATGTTAAGAGAGGGCTAGGGACATGTCTCTATGGTAAAATTCTTACCTAACATTCACAAAGCTTTAGGCTCAATGACTAGTACCATGAAAAAAAAAGAAAGGAAGGAAGGAAGAAAGAGACAGAAAGAGGGACAGAGTGAAAGAAAGGGAGAGAGAGAGAGGGAGGAAGGGAGGGAAGGAGGCAGGGAGGGAGGGAGGGAGGGGAAAATGAGAGAGGAGAAAGCGTATGGGTTATTTCAGGAGGGATACAACTTTAAGCATAATGAATAATGTAAATTTGAATAAAAACCATGTCAGTCTAATCTGTGATTTCAAACTTGGGAAACCAGAATAACAACTCTATGCTACTGAATGGAGAAGTACATAGTCTTTTTACAACTACTTGAGCTTAGGGTTAACTGTGTGCAATCAACATTTATTTTATGTCTGAAAAAGAGATTAAAACATTCATGCATAAGAAAATCACTTTCTAAAAATCTCATCCTTATATGCAAGAAAGAGTAATTTTTCAGAGGATTAAAAATTGAGGTCTTTATGTTTTGATTGGTAGCCTAACATTTCTTAAAGAAATGATTTCAAGTAATAGAAAATTATATTTCTGAGCAAGCAGTCTCTAGTAGAAATACAAATTGCATGTAGAATTTAAAAGTTCCTAGTAGCCTTAGGAAGAAGTTTTATTAAGAAGTTAATATTTAATTATAAATTACAATAATTTATATTTATCCTAGTATCTATAAATATTGTCATTTCAATGTGCAACCATTATAAAAATTTCATAAAATATCTCATATTCTTTTTAGTAGTAATTCTTTGAAACCCAGTATGTATTATATATATGTATATAGTATATCTTTTGTACTAGCCACATTTTAGTGTTTAATAAATGAATGTGGCCAGTTGCTGATTTAGAAATCAAATGACATTAAAAAGGCCTTAATTTTTCATATGACTTTGCTCAGACGATATTAGCATCCCAGTTGATGGGCCTACAAGGGCTGAGTTCAGCTACTGTATTTGATAACAAATGTTCACTGACTTCCTGGTCTTCTCAGACAGTTGTTCTAAACATTGAGAGTATGGTTGTGAACAATAAAGCTCATATGTCTTCCCCCATGGAGCTACCATGAGAGACAGATAATGCAGAGGAACACATTGAATAGTGTATTTGTAAATAGTGATGACTGCTAAGTAAAAATATATTAGGAAGTAAAGGAACATTAAATATGTTAAGGCAGGAGCTCCAGTTTTAGGACATGTAACTGAGGTTTGGTTAAAGACCTTTCTCATATTGGTAAAATTTTATGAAAGTTATGGCCTTGGGTTGTGTTGACTTTAAAGAAAATTAATGCATGCACAAAGTTATCTGTCATTTTATAATATAAAGCCAACAAGGGCCAAAGGACGGTGAGTGCCAAGGTTAGTGAAACCCTTGCAGTCTCTTTGCTCCTGGGGTTTGCCTTTAATGGATAAGCACTGATTAAGTATTTGTAAATTAAATATACACTGTGATGTGATACATAATGATATCTTGGTCAGCAACTGACAGCACCTATGAGGTCACATACCATAGCCAACTTGATTTGCAAGCACTCTTTATAAACTTTTCTACTCCCATGTTTGGAATCTATCCCTGTTATGAAATGACTAGTGAGTATAATTAGAGAAGTGCCATCCTATAAACACATAGAATAAATAAATGGTCCAAACCAAACTGAGCAGGACTGAGGGGCTGTCTGTGTTTTCCCAAGTCAGCATTGAAGGAGGCAGAAAACATTTCCATTTATGCAAAGGCTCCATCTGCACACTGTATTTCTCTGGTATGAGTGGAGACAACCCCATAAAACCAAATTGAGACTTAGGGTGGGGACCAAAGGCACTGGCAGGCCATACTAGTCATTTTGTTTTTTATCCTAAGATAAGTGGGAATCTATTGAAGTTGACTTGCTTCATTTAAACCTTTGAGACTAGGCAGAAGGTAACTTGGTAAGATTTTGTTTTGTGTTGTGAATAGAACTCATGTCTGTTCAACATGTCTTCCTCCATGGAGCTACCATTCTACCATGGAAGGCAGACAATAACCTGGGCAAACAAACTTAATGGTTCACACATTAAACAATGATAAACGTCAAATAAAAACATGGAGTGGTAATGAGAAGTAAAGGAGGTTAAGGCAGAGATACAGGTCTAGGGATAATCAGCAATTATCTTCCCACTGAGAAGTCAAGGCTTGTTTAAGTTGTATACTAATATTAGTGAAAACTCATGGCCATGTTTTGAAATTCTCAGTTCAAAACCATAGAGTATATACCATGATCTCAGACTACAGATTCTGTGTAGTGAGAGGATATGAGATCATCTAGGTTGCAGTTCTCAAGTGGAGTGACTGAATGTTCATCTCAAAGTCAAGCCCTGGGAAAAGAGGCCCTTGCGAGACTTGTACAGGAAGGTCATGTGCAGTTACAGATGCTAATAAGACAAAGAAGGAATGAGAGTCTAGTCAGAAAGCACAGAAGATAAGGTTGAGGGGAGTGGTAGCTGCGTAGGTTCATACTGTGCTGATTATTTAGAATCCATACTTAGCATTGAATTGCCCACCCTGCTCTGTTTAGGACAACTTCCTACACATTCTTTGGAAGTGAATAAAGGGCAGGGGCAGTTATCAGCCAATGCTCTCACTTACAAATGATTCCAATCTGATCCATCCTCAAAACTGGTCATCAGCTGTTAAGGTTCTTCAGAAGCTGTTCTATTACATACCTTTTAAGTTGTATATGTGTAGGTCATGTTTAAGGTAACCTCATCTGAGAAATGCAACGCAACAAGGACTTATGTAGCCCTTCTTCAGAAGCAATAGAATAAAGGACACAGAGTGTAGGAGGAAAACAATGCCGCCATGTGACTTACTAGAGGCGCATACAGATGAGGTAATAAAAGAGCAGTGGTTTACCACACCGCTAACCACACCCACTTTAGGCATGACTAAAGACATATATGGACGGACGTAAAGACGTATACTACGTAGGCCTGGCTAGGGAGCGTTAAGGGGGAAGGCATAAAAGACTGAACAATGGAAGTCTTGGTCTCTTTTTCCGGGCTTCCTACCCCATGGCGTTACATCTCGACTCCCTGTGTTTCTCCTACCCAGAGTCCTCCTGGATTCCTTGGACACGTTCTCAGGCTTCTCTCAAGGCATCTTGTGTGTTATTTGGGAACTGCAGCTCGGCAGAGCCCAGGTGACTGGTGGGGATAAACCAAAGCAGAAGACAAGGATAAGGCTTCCCTTTACATAATGGTGATCAAAAGTGGGATCATGAATTTCCACGTAGAATGACATAAGCTTTAAAGGAATTTTAGAAACAAAAAAACGGAGAGAAGCATGAGTTCTTGGTGTAGGGAAAAGGGACCAGTCAAAGAAACACACCCTGAGCAGAGCCAAAGAAACACACTTTGGCCCTGCAACCACAACCAAAGAAATGTACCCTGACCCTAAAACCAGTGCCAAAGGAACACACTTTGTCCCTGGAATCAGAGTCAGTGAAAGAAATGTACCCTGGCCCTAAAATTGGAGCCAAAAGGCTAAAAAGGACCAGAGAAAGAAACACACTTTGGCCCTGAAACCAGAGCCAAATCTGACCCTAATCCTGTGTAAAAAAGTAACCAATCCCGGAGCAGAGCTCTAGCCAATCTGAGCTCAGCACTGAAATCGGACCAATCTCTACTCTGGAAAAACTTCCCCAATCCCTATATAAACCAGGTGTATGTTCAGCTTGGCTGGTCCAGCTGTCTTCCAATAAACCCCTTTGGATGAGCTTCGGGTGAAGATCTTCTTTTGCGGCGGCGACAGAGCAGAGGCGACCCTGGGCAGAGCAGAGCAGAGCAAGCAGAGGCGACCCTGGGCAGAGCAGAGCAGAGCAGAGCGAGCAGCGCTGTAACACTTGCCGGGGAAACCTTCCTTGGCAGAGCGGAGTCCGGCTCCCTGCTCTCTGCTCTCCGCTCTCCAGGAGCAGAGCTGAACTGTAGCAACTTCTCCTGAGAAACCTCCTGCGGAGCAAAACTGCTACACTAGGCGAACATCCCCAGCTGGAAGACCCTGTCCTGCCGGAGCAGAGCGGAGCGGAGCTGATACACCGGAGAAGCCTTTCTCTGAGGCAAGGCTGTAAGCTGCCAAGCTTACTGCAACCTGTGGTGGTCCTTGGCTCCCGAGCTCCAGGATACCTTTACATCTGAGCTGTGTAACACTCAGTATCCTTGGCTCCCGAGCTCCAGGATACCTTTCCACCTGAGCTGTGTAACACTGAGTATTCTGTGACTCCCGAGTGCCAGAATACCTGACCCACTCCTGTTCCATCCTGTCCTGACCCATCCTGACAAAACGCTTACACTTGGTAGCAGCATTTTCTCAGGTGGCTCTGTTTTGCTAGCAACAAGCAGAGATTCATGCGGCTGGCTTAAGTGAGGCTTCCTGACTCAGCATAAAAACAACAACAACAACAACAAAACCCAGCAAGGTTGTTTTAAGAGACTCTGCTAATAATTGAAAGGTGTGTAGGTACAGCTGGAAGTGGCAGTGACCACATCTCCAAGCACAGACTGAGGCAATGAGCTGGAATCATGCTTATGCCTGCCATCTTGGAAAAACGGCAGTTTAAACAGCCTCGGTTTTAACAGATAAGACACGTGGCCAGAGAAACATAAAGATTTACAGTAAAGTCAGACTTGGATAAAGAAAAACCTCTAAATGTTTACAGTGTGTTTAAAAATATAGGTGAGATTGAGAGAGAAAAAACCAAAAACGACATAGTGGTAAATAAATAGAGAAGCCTGCTGTGGTGGCGCTAGCCGGTAGGATTTGCTGCAGAGGCAGAGGCAGAGGCAGGCAGATTCCAAAGAGAAACCCTGTCTCAGAGAAAAATAAATAAATCAAAGTAAAAGAAATAGAGTAATAATAATAGATAAATAAATAAGCCACGTAAAGATGGAAAATACACAGAGTCTGGATGCTGTACTCTATTGTGTTTTTCAGTTTTTTGATTACTCAGGAAGGAACAACTGCTAAATTGTAAATGCAGCTGAATTAATTCAACTTATATCTTTTGAAAATGCCTTGACTTCAAAATTTAAGTATAAGAATATGTTACTTGGCAAAGGAGTTTTTG